CATTCCTGCAAGTGAGCAACTGCGATATCTCATTCTCTTTATTGTCCAGACGGGCTCTATCTGAGGTAATTAAGCTCTTCCTTGGATGTAATTAAGCTTTAGTTTACCCTTTTTGCATATGGTATGGATGGATCATGGACACATAATCTACTCTAATTAAGTTTAATGTTTTATTAGACAATCCAGAACACAGGATTTTTCACCATATTCAAATTATTGGTTTTGGGCGTCCGTTGCTCCAAAATCATTGTGATATTGATATACATGTGACTCTGGTTTTGGAATTTTTCTGTTCATGCTTCTCAGGGATCCGCATAATGGATTCAGCTACCTCTTCAGTTTCAGTCAACTGTACCTCTCTTTTACTTTCTTGAAGCAAATTTAGAGGTTTCAATGCAAACGTTTATTTATATATTTATACATAGTTGAAACTTTGATGCTTAACTATCACTATGATAACTGATATACCCTTGAACACAAAATCTTAATGCAGAGGTGCATTTCTCAATTCGTTAGGTTTCGTATTGTCTCTTATAGTTCTCATTGAATTACATATCTCAAAATAAACAAATTCCAATAGCCCTTTATTAGCTTCAATTATGGAAGCTAATAAAGTCCTCGATTATACAATATTTTGTTCGCATAATTGGAGCAGTTATTATGGAATACTGGCCTTTAGCTATTTGTTACAGGAAATCATATAAATTTGAAGCTCTTGAATTTAATGGCATATAAAGAAAATGTTAAATAAAACTAAATTAAAAACCTCTTGAAGTTAGAACTCCGTATAATTGGAAGAGTCATAATGTAGCATCCATCTTTAGCTATTTAGTTGAGGATTGTATAATTTGAAGTTCTTGAAATTAAGAGGCCAAAAATGCAAAATAAATATTAAAAAAAAAAATTTTAAAAAGAAAAAAAGAAGAAGAGAAACTCTTGAAGTTAAACTTTGCATGTTTTAGGCCTTATCTCCCTCCACTTTAGCTAGACCTACTATTTGGAGAAAGGTGTGAAAACACAACTACCATAATTGTTAAGTGCATTATTATATCTTAAGAATTTCAGGGTGGCTGTTCAAGTTGTTATCACTGTTTGTCTCTATCCAGGGCTGATATAGCGCAAATTTACAACAAAGAACACAAAAAGATATTCTTGGCTAAATTTTTTGGACTCATCCAAGTTATAGCAGCAGGCTAGCTTGAGAACAATTGGGTTCGACTCAATAGCCATTTTACCAATTCAAGATCAGTTTGGGCAGTCGTGATATGTAACTCTTCTAAAACTTTTTGAGAAGTAATGCCTCGTATTTGTAGCCATGGAGAATGAGACCCCCTTCATTGCAAGGGCTGGGGAGGGTTGTGTCTTATATCTGCATAGACTGACCCCCTCTTGTAGTGAGGTTATTTCCCGTTTAAACCCTTGTCCCTGGATCATAACGGAGCAACCTTAGCGTTACCTCCAACTAGTAATTAAGAGAAAATAAAGCGGTTATAATATGTGAGTTTTCACTTCTCCGTTACCGGTTAGATTGGTTTGCAATAGGTTGAGTGAAAGGGGCAAAAACTATAAAATTGCTAACGAAGTTAGCTTCCTCTCTTTTTTGTACTTCTCCTTTCCTTTCCATCAATGTTTCCAAATTCCAAATGGTAACTGAACTCTCCCGCCTCCTGACTATGTATACGTATCAACTTATTTAATTTCATTTTCCTTTTTATTTTCTTGTTGATATGCTGATGAAGCAAAGTAATCAGACACGATTTACTGTATAGTCTCCTTGTGTGACTTGGTTTCTCCATTTAAGTGTTGAACTCCTAGGGCTTATAATTGTGATATTCATTAGAGAGAAAAAAATTATTGCACACCCCCGCTCATATTTTCTTTTGAGGAAATCTTATGTGTCACGGTTATGGATTTGTATTTCTTTTATTATGAGAGTAAAAGACAGCATTAAGTTTCTCTAATTGCCAGCAGCTTTCAGGCCTGGTGGCACATCCTACCCTTAGGAACAAGGCTCAAGGCCAATTCAATAGCTGGTGGGCTTTTTAGTAATTTACCAAGAAAAACAAAAAGAAATTGCTCTAGGTGTTTTATGGCTTTTGTAGGCTGTATCCTTAATCACACATTAGGCTTTGTATAGAACAGAGTGTAGTGCTGGTAATAGATCTTCTGGTAAGTGTGTATTTCTATCTGTGGTCATATTGACCATTTGCTTTCATTAATTTTATTGATAGTGTTTCATATCTTTCTTCATTGATTGGGAACTATGCTTTTACCGTTTGAAGAAATTCACTGATATTATAGGAAGATATCGTTTGATTATATCTACCAAGGTTGGGAAAAAATTTCTGGGTTGCTAGCTTTCCCTTTATGGTGGGGAATATATTTCGTATCTTTCAGATAGTCCACAGATGCCGTTCATATGCATAAACTGTGATGGTTTCAGTAAGTATATGTTTTGATGCTTCAGGTTGTACTCAAACAATGGATCCTTGGAAGTGCACTTTGTCTGGTGGTGCAAATTCTCTTTCTATGGCACCTTCAAGTATTTTAAATAAGGTGAATGAGAAGGCTCAACCTGAAAAGGAAGAGAGGGATACAGGTCATGTGGTTGAGGCTGGAGTCGATATAGACATTAGAGAGGTTTACTTTTTGATTATGCATTTTCTGTCTGTTGGGCCATGCCAGAGGACTTTTGAACAATTTGGGAATGATCTTCTGGAACATCAGCTTCTACCTAGAAGGTACCATGCTTGGTTTTCAAGGAGCGGCGTAGGAAGTGGCAATAATAATGATGATGCCATCTCTTTCCCATTGAGTTACAACAAGTTGGTTGAAAGGTACAGATGTTTCTCAATTGATCTTACCCTTGTCATAGGAATAGTTCAACGCCTAGCATAGGATTTGTTTTTGTTAGTATTGGTGTTGTTTATGTTCATGTCATCTCTCCTCTTATTACAGAAGACATATGTTTTAACATTAGTCACTTAATATTTGCATCATATATATAACATGACTCACACCGCAGCATATGACATGCCGAGATCCCTTGTCTGGTATTCTAACCCAAACTTCATCCCTTAATCCTTGTCCAGTCCAACAGACAACGGGCATACTGATATGTAAAAGAGGAAATATGGGGTGTAATCATCAATAGTCCAGTGAGTAGTAAACATAATTATGTCATTCAAGTAGTTTTACACAACTCAGTTCACAATAGGTTTTGCAAAATGTTTATTTAAAGAAAATAATTGAGTTAGAATCCAGTTAATATAAAATATTCTTGTACGCACATATAAATCAACACCAAATAACCTTTTTGTTTTCAGAAATAATATTATATAAGTAAACCCCGTCACACATGACACACATTGTGGAATGAGGTTATAGGTGAATCTTATCGCACAATATACACATCATGTAAGGATGGGCAGGCAACTTGAATCCCATCATATGACACACATACTACATTTAGGAGTAAGCTTATAACTGAATCCCCCAAGATTACACACTGTATTATGTAAGAACAAGTAGATA